CATACGACACATTATTCAGCAAATGTGGATTACACACAAGGCGAATTATGTGAGCCACGTATAAAATAGAAATTTATTTGGGAAAAAAGAAACTTATTAAGTGCGATATCAAAATTAGAATTGCAGTATTCAACGCATTATTAATAATAATTGTCTACTTACAGGCAAGGATATATATCATAACTTTGAAATATATATAATCCAATATAATTAAGTAAATAAAATGTTAAAGTTTCATTTGTACTCATTAATTAACATATGTTTTTATCTGTACGTATATATTACCATAGAAATGGGAGATTGAGTGACTGTTTTATTAAAACAATAGGAAACATCTCTCAAAATGAAATATTTCATATGTAAAAACGTTCAATATTCACTAACACAGTCCTTTGTTTGGTTGTATACTTTCTTTTAATTAAAACGTTTCTGTACCATTGATTGTGGTCTTTCCGTCGCAAGAATGCGAGGTACCCAAAAATTGTATTAAGATTAATAGGTACGTAGTAATACTGTTTACCATCTAAAATAAATATTACAAACTAAACAATACATATTTAAATTAAATAAATTATTTACTTACCGCAGTGAGAAGTTTCGCGTCCACAGTAAGACCTTTCGCGAAAAAAGTATTATTACAATGCAATATTTGTATGGAAAACAGCTGTAACTGCAACGATACATAAAAAAATAGACAAGATTAGGAAACTTATTTTATAAATTTGCCGGACTTAATATGAAAATCGTACTAAATAATGAGATTTACAAATTATACGATATTTTTCTTTATTACCTCATATTTTATTTGCTCATCAGTCGTGGTATTAAGCACATCGTGAATAGTAGTGCCAATTTTTGTTGCTTGATTCTTGCCGGTCTCGCAGGCCCATACTATTAACATTACTTTTGTAACGAGATACATTAAATAGGACATTAAGATTGTATTATGAATCTGTTTAGCCAGACTGATAGACAGGCCGTTGTGCCACTGCACCGTATTCGAATATAATTCGAAAGTAATTTCGATGAAGGCTATGGTAATAGTTGCAAGAACCTGCGGACTAAAAATTATATTCAGCTTCTGCACTGTATCGCTAACCATTAGATACTCCTTTCTCAGAGCCTTGATTTCTTCCAACAGATGTGGGCACCTTTGCTGATAATAAATCAGTCTGGGAACATACGATTTATTATTTAGCATGAGTTCTCGTAAATTTGTCAGATTGTCATCGATTCTTTTGAAACAAGCCTTTAATATACAAACACAATTGACATACAGCATATTCATTTGTAACATTTGAAAATGCATGTAAAATTCCATTATTTCATAAATTATTGTATAAATCAAACCGTTCTTTGTTTCACGGTAACGTAAGAGTGATGTCAACGAATGTCCTGTTAAGAGGAGAAAGCTGAAAATATCCTTCATGTGTATCAACTTAGATAGTTTAATATACGATTTCGGAGGCAATTTTGAAGAGACTTCTAATATGGTCTGTAGAAAACGCATTCTTCGACCACTCAAAATACACCAGACGATTACTATGAAACTTTGGAACATAAAAAAACACTTGTCCTGAATTTTTTCGGTTGCGTCATTCCTGATATCTAATTCTGATATATATTTTAATACGTTGATTTCATAAATTCTTGCCAAATTAAAAACGCAGATGACGCAGGTAATGATAATTAATAAGATGTAACGCGGTCTTGATGTCTCGAAGATCGAAGCGTTGATCTTGTATGGAAATATTCCAAAAATGCACAAGAGCGTGAAACAGGGATTCATCAAAGATTGAAAATCCGTAGCGTGGAACAACCGCCATTTTTTCCATATTTTGCTCATGACTCGTCTTTGGCATTTCGATAACGTATTGAACATGATCAGTGGAATGTGCAAACTACAATTTAAATTATAAAAAACCATCTAATAATTAATTATTCATTACGTTTTCGGTATACTTTGACATTAATAAAATAATTGTGTATACTTCTTTCCTAAGCTTCAAGATCGTTTTTTTTTTACGACGAATGCATAAACTAGTACGCATTCCTTATTATCGGTCTACACTTAACGAGTTGAAGTTTGAAACTGCAAGTGCTTGCATAGAATAATAAAACTGACATTGAGTTTAGAAATTATTTATCCGTAAAGTAAAATGGCATTCTTCTCTATTAGTACTTATCCACCCTTGGGATGTAGCGCATAAAGTAATAAAATATAACCGCTATGACATACGACACATCATTCAGCAAATGTAGCTCACACACTAGGCGAATTATGTGAGTCACTTATAAAATAGAAATTTATTAATTGCGTGATATCAACATGAATTAGCATTACAGTATTCAAAGCGTTATTAATAATAATTGTCTACTTGCAAGCAAGGATGTATATACCATAACTTTGAAATATATATAATTAAACAAATAAAATATTAAAGTTTTATCTGTACTCATTAATTAACATATGTTTTTATCTGTATATGTAGAATTATAGAAATAGGAGATTGAGCGACTGTATTTTTATAACAATAGAAAATGTCTTGTAAAATGAAATATTTAATAGGACATATTTCATATGTAAAATTTCAATATTCACTAACGCAGTTCTTTGTTTGATTGAATACTTTCTTTTAATTAAAACGCTTCTGTACCATTGATTGCAGTCTTTCCGTCGCAAGAATGCGATGTACCCAAAAATTGTATTAAAATTAATAGGTACGTAGTGATACTATTTATCATCTAAAATAAAAATTACAAACTAAAAATATATATATCTAACTAAATAAATAAAATTAAAACTAACTGAATTATTTACTCACCGCAGTGAGAAGTGTCGCATCCACAGTAAGACCTTTCGAGGAAAAAGTATTATTGCAATGCAATATTTGCATGGAAAACAGCTGCAACTGCAACGATACATCAAGAAATAGACAAGATTAGGAAACTTATTTTATAAATTCGCCGTATTTATTATAAAAATCGTATAGCGCAATCTGTAAATAATGAGATTTACAGAATATGCGATATTTTTCTTTATTACCTCATATTTTATTTGCTCATCTGTGGTGGTATTAAGCACATTGTGAATAGTAGTACCAATTTCTGTCGCTTCATTTTTACCGGTTTCGCAGGCCCATACTACCAATACTATTCTTATAAGATAATACATTATGAGCGACACAAAAAATTCATGACGAATCTGCTTATCCAGGCTAATGGATATTCCGTCTTGCCACTGTACTATATGGAAGTACAGGGCGAAAGTGATCTGCTTGAAGACTACCACTATGGTACCGAGAAGCTGTAGACTGAAGATTACGTTCAGCATCTGTACCGTGTCGCTGATCATCAGATGTTGCTTCTTCAGAGCTTTGAGTTCCGTCAGCATGTACGGATTTCTTTGCTCATCGTCTATCCGTCTGGAGATATCGTTCACTACGCAGAGCTCCCGCAGATTCTCTAGAGTGTTATTGATTTCTTTTAAACAGGCCTTTAAGACACAAACGCAATTCATATACAGCATATCCATCTGAAACACTATCATGGCGATGTACACTCTCAATGACTCGAACGTGGTATCGATAACCATTTCAGAAGAATTTAAAAGAAATATCAACAACAGCCACAATAAGAAGATGAAACCGAAGATATCTTTGGCGTGAATTAGCTTGGATAGCCTCTGATACGATTCCGCGGGCAATCTTGAAGAAATTTCTTGTATACACTGGAGCAAACGCATTCGCCGATCGCTCGAAACACGCCAGACAATCGCTGCGAATGCTCCCAGCACAAAATGGAAGTTGTACGTAATAGTTTTGGGTACTTCAAGCCTGACTCTTCCAGAAAAATTGAGTTTATAGAACATTATCAGCTCATAAATGCAAATGACACAGGTGATGATAGTCCAGAGAATGTATCCTGATTTGGATCTCTCGAAAGTCGAAACCTTGATTCTGTACGGAAATATTCCGAGAATCTTGCAGAAAATGAAGTTGAAATACATCAACGATTGAAAGTCCGTGGCGTGGAATAGCCATCTTTTTCGTCTTTTGGTCTCTCCTTGGAATTTCTGCGACAGATTAAATATAATTCAACAAAAATTTATTGGAAAAAAATAATTTTATCTATTAATAATAGACTAATACTTGAAGATTATTAATCACATTATTAATGCACTTTAACATCAATACGAGCGTTATTGTAAAAACTTTTTTTTTAAGTAAATTATCTTTAATTTCGTCTTTTCACCACGAGTATGTAAATTGATGTGCACTACATGTAGTCTATATACATCTGGCGAATTAAAACTCCATTGCAAAGCATAGTTGCTGCCTCGACTAGCGAAACACGACTCAGAGATCATTTGTTAGCCATGAAGTGAATGGCTTTCTTCGATCAGCTTTCTATTCTTCCTGAGCCGCATGCGCATATAAACTAATAAAGTAATTGTTGATATACGAATTATCATTCACTACATTAAGATCATGAATTATGTAAAAATAAAAAGCATTGACTACTTAGAATCTATATGAATTAGTAGCTTTGAGAACTTTCATAAAAATCACCAGTCTTATTTTAAATTATATCAATTATAAATACTTCGTTTTTGTTCTTGCTCTGAATCGTTTTTTTTGGTTCGGTTATCACCATATACGAATTATTTCAATGACTTGTATTGTTACTTGCAGTTACAGAACGACATATAGACAAGATATTAATTATATATATTTTTGTACGTCAAAAATATACCTGTTAGGTATTTATTTAAAGTACATTTAATTTAATATTTAATTAAGTACAGTTTTTCTTAATATAATAATTTATTTATTAATATGGCGCATTTAAATAAATAGAGTTTTAAAATCTTATTTATGCCATTGGTTACAACATGTACGTAATGCATTTTTATCTATCTCAATACATACCTCATATATACATGTACAGTCTTGGCCAAAAATATTTGGCATCTATATGTTTTTTATTTATCTTTTATATATTGTTTCTTTTTAATTACCGACATCATACACTAGTTCAAGGAGTTTTTGAGATAAAGAATACACCAAATGCTATACATCATTTTTTAGTTAAAACATTAATAATTAATATGTTTCTAATATTTTTATCCAAGGCTACACACACACACACACACACACACACACACATCTTTATAGAAATAAAAACATTGAACGATTATATTCTTTTCACAATGACAAAAAAATATTTAACCTGTAAAAATCAGAAGATTACAATATTTTCAAACGTATTTCTTTGATGCATTTGTCTTGCTGTCACAAGAATGCGACATGATGAAAAATTGTATTAAAATTAATAGATACGTGGTAATGCTATTCACCATCTAAAAACACAAAATGTAAAGTATTTAAATGATACACGCTTAATTAAGGTACATATATTTAATCACTCATCTTAGTGAGTAACGTCGCATTCACAGTGAGACCTTTCGCGTAGAATGTATTTTCACAATGCAATATTTGCAAGGAAAACAGATTTAACTGTAACAACAAATCCAAAAATAATAAATACGAGAGTGATAAATTAGTTAAATTAGTTAGATTTAATATATATAAATATCGCACAACACATTCGTAAAAAAAGTTGTAAATCCAAATTATATCTGTCTTTACTACCTCATTTTTGATATTTACATCGTTGGTGAAATTAAGCACATCGTGAATAGTAGTGCCGATTTCTGCCGCTTGACTTTTACCGGTTTCGCAAGCCCACACTATCAATATTATTTTTATAAAGGAATATCCTAGGGATGATATCATATGCACTTTATAAATCGTATCCAGTTTGAAGAATATCATTCCATTTTGCCATCGTATTACATCATAATAAACATAAAATACGATATGCTTTAAAGAAAAGACTACGGCAGCGAGAAGATGCAGGCTAAAAATTACGTTCAGCATCTGCACTGTATTACTGATCATCAGATGCTGTTTCTGAAGAGCTTTGATTCTCATCAGCAAGAATGGGTATCTTTGCTCGTGATAGATACATCTTGGGATATCATTCATCTCCAGCTCCCGTAGATTCTCCAGATTATCGTTGATATCCTTGAAACAGGCCTTCAAGACACAAACGCAATTTATATACATCATATCTATTTGAAATATCAACATGGCGATATATACTCCGAAAATTTCAAGTAAACCGTCGAAAGTCTTAAAATTCATGAGATATATTAACCCTAGCCAGAATTGAAGTAGAAAACCGAAAACGTCCTTAGCGTGTACTAATTTGGACAGTTTCTGATATGACTGCTGGGGCAGTTTCGAAGAAATATCTGCTACAGCTTGAAGTAATCGCATTTGCCGATCGCTCAAGATATATGAGAAGGATGGTACGGAAAGTCCATATATAAGAGAGAAATTAATCGAAATAATCTTCTGTACTTCCAGCTTCATTTTTCCAGAGAGATTAAGTTTATAAAATAGTGTTAAGTTATAAACACAGTTTGCGCACAAAATAATAGTCCACAGAATGTAACGCGGTTTAGAAGCCTCAAAAGACAAAGCCTTAATCCTGTACGGAAATATTCCGAGAATTTTGCTGAAGTTAAAATTGGGATACATCAAGGATTGAAAATCCGTAGCGTGAAACAACTCCCATTTTCTCCCCGTTTTCTTGGTCCTTGACGCAACTTTGATTTTTCTGGGACAAATTAAATATAATTAACGATCTGTTGCCAAGAGAACAATAATTTAATATATTAATAGCAAATTACTACTTTAATTTATTTACTTTATCTTTTTTTTTTGCATTTTAGAAGCGTTAATATAAACCTTATTGCGAAAACTTTTTTTCTAAGATGTAGTCTTTAATTTTGAACATTTTCACCACAAATGTACGATTGACATGCACTCTGATTTTAATCTGTTTGTATACTCTGGAAGAATTAAGTTTAAATCTGCAAGTAGTGTTGCTGCGTCGAATAGCAAGACGTAACTAAGAGGTCATTTGTTAGCTACAAAGTAATATTGATTTTTCGATTATTACTTATTACATTTTAGAATATAAGAACATGTAAAATAATAAATTAATTGCTGACATATCTGTTATCATTCTGATCAACATCTAAATTGAGAAAAATATGCATAAAAATTATCAAACTATCAGAAAAATATTACATAAAGAAATTAAAAACTATTCTATTTAGTGAAATTAAAATATTTGTCCACAATCGATCTAACAATCTTGATTTTTAATATTACTTATAATTTTTTGTAATTTTTAATATAAAAATATTTATATATTTGATAAAACGTATATTGTCATATATATTATTCTATCATAATTTGTAATGGTGATTGAAATTTATAATATTGATATTAATTGATAGTAATTCAAACTTTATTTGTACAGAAATAAATGCGTAATAAAATATTGTTAAATTATACTGCGTGCATTTTTAGAGGCAATAATATCGAATTAATGCAGTATGTAATAAAAATAATGTTAACAAATCGAGTTCATCATGTAAAAACAATACTCTAATTCCAGTTAGAAATAATATAACTAATTATTCAGATTAGAAATAATTGAATTAAATTTTTTTCTAAAAATTTAATACTTCATAGACATGAAATTATCTTGAAATGCCTGATCTTCTACAATTCATTGACAATTTAAAAAAATAGAGTAGCGGAAAGCGTAAGCTTGCTCATTATGCTAATGTCGATGACGTGTAATATTTTACGTTCTTCAAGGAAAATTTAATCAAATATAACGAATTAATATTTGAAACCAATTTCGAGATTCAAGATTGATAACTCTGATCTCATTGTGTGGAGCATTAAAAGGTATCATCAAATAGGGAAAACAAAATTTAAATTTCGATAATTAGATTCAAATTTTTTATTTTACTCAAAATTGTATTACGTTCGAAATTGTACAACTTAACGCTATATAATTTTGTACATTAGAAATATATATATATATAATTTTATTATTTTTTAAATATTTGCTATTTAATATAAATTTAATCTTAATGAAAATGTAATTGAACTGTTAAGTTAATATTTAATTTGAAGTACATTTCTTATTACTAATAATTTATTTATTATGACGCATTTAAATGAATACGTGATGCAAGATTTTTATCTGACTCAGTACATATATCATGTTACATGTATATTTATATGTACATATAGAAATGAGAATGTCGGACAATTGTTCTATTCACAACGACAAAAAAAAATATTTTACGTAAAAACAGAAGTTTTGAACATTTTTTTAATTATGCATTTCTTTTGCTATCACAAGAATGTGACGTGATCAAAAATTGTATTAAAATTAGTATATACGTCGTAATGCCACTCACGATCTAAAAGTAAAATATGAAATATTTAAATGATACACATTTAACTTAGTATCATATTTGATCACTCACCTCAGTGAGCAACGTCGCACCCACAGTGACGCCTTTCGTGGAGAATGTATTTTTACAATGCATTATTTGCAAGCAAAACAGTTTCAACTGCAAAAACATGTCCAAAAATAATAAATACAAGAGTGATAAATTTAAATATAAATTGGTTATATTACATATACATATATTTTGTACAACATCTTTGTAAAAATTTTTCAAACTAAATTATATTTGTCTTTACTACCTCATCTTTGATTTGCTCATCCTTGGTGATGTTAAGCACATCATGAATAGTAGTGCCAATTTTTATCGCCTGATTCTTACCGGTTTCGCAAGCCCACACTATCAATATTATTCTCAAAAAGTAATATATTAGGAATGATATAACATGCATATGATAAATCATATTTAGTTTGAAGAATATCGTTCCATCTTGCCAGTTTACTATATTATAATAAACAAAAAATGTGATCTGCTTGAAGACTAATACTATGGTAGCGAGAAGATGCAGGCTGAAAATTACGTTCAGCCTCTGCACTGTTTCGCTGATCATCAAATGCTGTTTCTGCAGAGTCTTGAGTCTCATCAGCAAGAATGGACATCTTTGCTCGTGATAGATCCATCTGGGTATATTATACGTCAGGAGTTCCCGCAGATTCTCTAGATTATCGTTGATTTCCTTGAAACAGGTCTTTATAACACAAACACAATTTACATACTGCATATCCATTAGAAACGCCAACAAGTTGACATATGTTCTGGAAATTCCAAATGAAGCACCTAAATTTACGTCAAAATATAAGTAATATATTAACAATAGCCAAAATTCACATAAAAAACCGAAAACGTCCTTAGCGTGTATTAATTTGGACAGTTTCTGATATGACTTTTTGGGCAGTTTCGAAGAGACATCTGATACAGTTTGAAGTAAGCGCATTCGCGTGCCGTTCAAGATATATGAGAAGACCGTTGTAAAAATTCCATGTATGAAAGAGAAATTAAGCGAAATAATCCTTTGTACTTCCAGCTTCATTGTTCCAGAGAAATTAATTTTGTAAAACATTGTCAACTGATGAGCACAGATTGCGCATATAATAATAGTCCATAGTATGTAGCGTGGTTTAGAAGTCTCCAAAGACGAAGCTTTAATCCTATACGGAAATATTCCGAGAATTTTGCTCAAGGTAAAATTGAGATACATCAAGGATTGAAAATCCGTAGCATGAAACAGCCATTTTCTTTCTTTCTTCTTAGTTTGTGACCCGAAATTTCTGCATCAAATTTAAATGTGATTAATGAATTGTTGTCAGAGAACAATAATTTAATATATTAATAATAAGTTATACTTGAATTTATTTACTTTATCATTTTTTTATGTATTTTAGAAGTGTTAGTATTAGTCTTATTGCAAAATCTCCTTTTCTACATCTTCAGTTACAAACTTTTTACACTTATATAATTGACATACTGATTTTAGTCTGTATATTTACTTTGGGGGAATTAAATTAAAATCTTCAAGTAGTTGCTGCGTCGAGTAGCAAGACGTAACTGAGAAGTTATTTGTTAGCTATAAAACAATATTGTTTTTCGATCATTATTTAATACGTTCTAGAATATAAGAACATGTAAAGTAATAAATTAATTGCTGACTATCATTTAGCACATCTAAATTGAGAAAAATATGCATACAAACTGTCAAACTATCTAAGAAGCATCACATAAAGAAATTAAGAGCTATTTTAATTAATGAAATTAACATATTCGACTACGTTTATATCAACCTTGATCTTTAACATTATTTATTATCTTTTGTAATTTTAATATAAAAAATATTCATGTATTGTATTTGATAAAAAGTATATTATTATTATATGTATTTTTTTAATCATAATTTGTAATGGTGAGTAAAATTTATAATATTGTTATAAATTGATAGTAAATTGAAATTTATTTGTACATGAATATTATATATTAAAATATTTTCCAATTGCACTGCACGTATTTTTAGAAACAATAAAATAATATCGCATTAAAAACAGTATATGAGATAAAGATAATGTTAATAAATCGAGTTTATTACGCAAAAACAATGCTATTATTTTGATTAGAATTAATCTGATTAATTATATAGATTAGAATTAATTGAAATTTTCTTCTAAAAATTAATGCGTCATAGTATATAGTCAATTACCTATCTTCTATACTTTAGAGACAATGAAAACAAATAGAGTAGCGGAAAGCTTGCTCATTATGATAATGTATCGATGACATTCGTTGTTTTATGTCCTTCAATGAAAATTCAATCAAATTATCAACTGATAAATTAAACTTGAATTACAAATATACTTTCAATAAGTGGTTTAAATTATGTAGGGCACGAAATACACTTTATAAATATATAATTACATTACTTATATAATGAGAAATGATTTGAAATAATGAAATCAAAATGTAGATAAATTCATTGAAGTATTAAATACAGATAATTAAAAATAATATATAAAATATGTAATAAACTGTAAGTAATTATATTTATAAAATATCCTAAGAGTTATAAGATAAATGAGACATCAATTTTCATAAAGAAATATGTCGGCGCGTGTCCTAACAATAAGTAAAAGAATCCAAGGATATCTTTGGCGTAAATAAACCTGGATAGCTTTTAATGCGATTTTCGGGAGCACCGTTGAAGAGATTTCCAACAGAGATTGAAGTAAGTGCATTCGTAGACCACTCAGGATATACGTGCCGATTGTTATGAAATCGCTGAGTACGAAAATGCAAGCCTTAAGAAATTCTGGCATTGCTTTTATGTAAACCGTTAAAAATACGCTTGGTACAACTTAACAGTATTATCAATATGTTAGATACAAACAAATGCAGATAGTAACGGTTGACAGAATGTCTGCGATCTAAAAATTTCAATGGTCGAAGCATTGATTCTGCAGGGAAAAATTCCGAAAATGCAGCAGAAGCAGGGATACACCAAGGATTGAAAGTCGGTGACTTGAAGGAACCGCAACTATTTCTTCTCTTTTTTTGTTAGAAATAAACATTAGAAATATAACTCATTTTTTTCTAATTAATTGATATTTTTATTACGTTTTAAAAGATATTAAAAATTTGTTTGCAATTGATTACATATAATACATGGAGAATTTTCAAACAATTTTTCTCTATAGTAGGTATAGGTATACGCACATAAATGTCTTTGGACAAAGATAAAGCACTACTTATAAACACATATTTTTACTTTGTTAGATAATGCATCTTTTTTAAATAGATTGCGTGATATTTGTTGCTGTCTTTTCGTTGCAAGAATTTTGCATGTTCAAGAACTGTATCGAAATTAATATATACGTGCTGATACTACCCACTATCTGAAATCATAGTTACACACGTACTCGAATAAGTACATAAGATACATACGTACATATAATTAATAAAGAACAAATGATAGATCACTCACTGCACCGAGAAGTTTTGCGTCCACAGTGAGAGCTTTCGCAGAAAGTGTACTTTTGCAATGCATTATTTGCAAGGAAAATAGTTGTACCTGTAAACCACAAAATAATTACATATAGAATTGAAAAATCATAATTCGGTAACTATAATATATGAGAAATTTTTTTAACACCCATAATGCTGAAATCCTTTTTAGTAACATATATTTATTAAATGTTTGACTAGGTTACCTCGTTTCTTATTTGCTCATCGGTGGTACTATTAAACACATCATGAATGGAAGTGCTAATATATACGGTCTTATTTTTATTTGACTCACAGACCCATATTATTAATACTATTTTTATAATGAAATGTGTTAGATATGGAATAAAAAACGGGAAATACATTTCCGCACTGCTCAATGTTCTTCTTTGTTGCCACCATTGTACGTAGAGATATATGTTGTACGTTATTTCGGTAAAGGTCATGACTATCGTAGCAAGGAGCTGCAAGCTGAAGGTCATATTCAGCATCTGTACTGTGTTGCTGATCATGAGATGTTGTTTCTTTAGAGCATTGAGCTTTATCAGTACAAAAGAATTTTTATTCTCGTGATACATCAGTCCAAGAACAGGTTTCTCATTCTTCGTCACGAATTCTTGCATGTGTATCAGATTGTCGTTGATTCTTTGGAAACAAGCTTTCAATATACATACGCAATTTATATACAACATGTCCATCTGAAACACCATCATGGTGATGTATATATTATACACTACGATCAAGATATTCATTTGCATTATGAAGAAATATGTCGGCGCGTGTGCAGCTAAGTAAAAGAGTCCAATGATGTCCTTGGCGTAGATAAATCTGGATAGTTTTTTATACGACTTTGGGGGTAACATTGAAGAGATTTCTAGCATGGACTGAAGTAAGCGCATTCGTGGACCACTCAGGATATACGTGACAATTGCTGTGAAACCGCTGAGCACGTAAAAGCATTCCGCTTCAAGAAGTTCTGGTATGCGATCCATGTTGACCATTAGAAATAAGTTAACGTGCAAATGGTGCACTATTATCACTATATAGATGCAACAAATGCAGATAATAACGGTTGACAGAATGTACTGCGGTCTAGAAGTCTCAATGATTGAAGCATTGATTCTGTATGGAAATATTCCGAGAATGCGGCAGACAGTGAAGCAGGGATACATCAAAGATTGAAAATCCGTGGCCTGAAAAATCCGCCAACTCTTCCCCTTTCTTTTACATTTACATCGGTCTCGATATTTCAATGAATTAAACATGATCAGATTTCTTTCTAGTAAGCGATTGTAGAGTAATTTAAGTTATGGACAACAGTCTAAACATTCTCAATTACGTTATCAATGCATTTTGGCATTAATGTAAGCGTAATTGCAAAAGCTTTCTTAGTATCATCCCACTGTTCTTTTTTTCTTAAGCGTTTTTACAACGAAGTGTATAAACCGGATGGCTGTTTCACATTCGGCGAGCATAAAGTTAAAACTGCAGTTGGTGCAACGAGATATGACTCATAGATCGTATGTTAGAGAAGTAATTATGGCGCTTGTCAATCTGCTTTATTATCCACTGCATTTATCGAAAGTAGAAGGCAAAAAGTAATAATACCTTATTGTTATGACATAAGAATACAGTAACTTTATATGCACATACAATGCAGAAATCATCAATTATGCAGCATCTACACGCGTTAATAATGCTTTGAATTCGGATAATATAATGACTGACTGATTCTATAGTACCTATGTATATATTTTCTCATTGTACACACGGGAATAATATTATCTCAAAGTTTAATACTTTTACCTTCATTATGTATAATTAATTAATATGAAACTATTATTACACATTTTTAGCTGGATTAAAAACAAATTGTTACAGATATTTATTTTTTATATCTATTGACTCATAATAGTTATTATATTTATTTGGCGAAATAATTTCGCAATAAATCTTTGTTACTTTAAAATACATATACATATTTAAAAATTTCAAAAACTAAGAAAATTTCAATATATTTTGATAATAATAAACTTCAAAGAGAAAAGATTGAAAATAGCTCATTTCGCACAGATTAATTAGTAGATTAGAAAAACAGTGTTTAACATTAATAATCCTTTCCTGCATTGAAATATAATTTTTGATTTTGAATATCTATCATCGTATTTATCATATTTAATGATATCCACGCTGACACGACATCACTGAAACAAAAAATTAATAAAATTTATGTTCATATTTTATTCTACTGTTGATCTTACTTTATTGTCAATCATCACAGAATGATATATATTTACCTTAAACGGAATTGAGATTTTATTACATGTATTCTTACTCAGGTACTTCAAATAAAGTCATTTTGTTATTAATTTATTGATATTTTTATATGTTTTAATTTTAACGCAAGATTAATTAAAAATTATATGAAATATTTAAAGAATAGAAAGAAATACTTTATAAAAATATATTACATTTTATATAATATATTTAAATAATTAAAAGATACTAAAGATTTATTTGCAATTTATTGTTAACATACATGATATAAAATTTTTAAATGATTTTTCTTTATATGTAGAGACAAACATAAAAAAAACATCATGTGATATTTTAATATCAATGACAGGAAGATTTCTAATATTTAGAAAGATATTCTTTTTTTCTATTATGTATCTCCTTCTAATTAAATTATTTGAGTATTATTGCTTGCAGTCTTTCCATCGCAAGAATACGACATGATCATAAATTGTGTTAAGATTAATATGTATGTCGTAATGCTGCCCGACATCTAAAAACAAAGAAAATAGTAAACAATATATATTTTATTTAAAGCAAACGATGTATTATACTCACCGCAGTAAGAAGCGTCGCGTCCACAGAAAGACCTTTCGTGGAATATATATTTTCGCAATGCAATATTTGCAAAGAAAATAGGTGTAACTGCAACGTTAAATCGTAAAATAAACTATTGGAAAATGTAAATATGAAAACCAAGATTTGTATATAAAATTGTATAAAATGTATATAAAGTATATAAAATTGAATTAGCACACGGGACATTTTTATAGCAGAAAATATGCGGATTAGATTTTTTTTACCTCGTCCTTGATTTGCATATCACTGGTGCGATTAAGTACGTCATGAATAGTGGTGCTGATCTCAAATGCTTGATTCTTGTTGGTTTCACAAGCCCATACTATCAATATTAACTTTATAAAATCATACGCTATGCAAGTTAGGAAGAACATGTCACTAATCTCATCGTCCAAAATGAATGATAGTCCATTTTGCCATCGCAGTAAATGAGAATACAATTCATAAGTGATTTCAATAAAGGTCAAGGTTATACTAACAAGAAGCTGTAGACTGAACATTACATTTAGCATTTGCACTGTGTTACTGATTATTAAATGCTGCTTTTTTAACATTCTGAGTTCTACCAGTAATAATTGATTCTTCTGCGTATGCCAGATCATTTTGGGAGCGTATGGTGTATCGTTTACTATGATCTTTTGCATGTGCACCAGATTGTCATTGATTCTTTTGAAACAAGCCTTTAGTACACAAACGCAGTTCATATATTGCATATCCATTTCAAACACCACTATTACAATGTATGCTGAGAATAAAATGATGAAAAGTTTTTCACGTATTTTATAATAACGTATGAGTCCGTGCGCGACTAAGAAAAAGGTACCCAAGATATCCTTTACATGAATCCATCTGGACAGTTTCTGATACGATTCTGGAGGTAATCTGGTTGAGGTGTCCAACATGGCCTGTAGCACACGCATTTTCGGACCGCTTAAGAAACACGTAATGAGTGTTACAAAGCCGTTGAATGTAAAGAAGAAGATCGAATCAAGAGTTTCGGTTACGTCTCCAAAGTTGACCGTTTTAGTAATGAAAATTTCACGCAATATCATTAGTTCGCCAATGCAAACAACGCAAATAGGAAAGACCTGCAGAATATAGCGCGATCTAGAAGTCTCGAAGGTCGAAGCGTTGATCTTGTATGGAAATATTCCGAGGATGCGACAGATGATGAAGTTGGGATACATCAAAGATTGAAAGTCTGTGGCGTGAAATAGCTGCCGCCTTTTCCACATTTTATCCATGGTTTGTTCTTACGATGATAAGCTGAACATTGAAGAATCATGAAGTATAGTTTAAGTCATGCATGACAGTTTACGATTATTAATCACATTATCTATACACTTCAGTATTTTTGCAGGCCTACGAGAGTTCTATTATAAATACAATTTAACTTAATGAGGATTATAAATACAATTATATTATTATAAATACAATTTAACTTAATGATGATTTCTTAATGATAAATTCGTACAGTGATATGAACTCTTTGTCACCAATTTGCATCCGGCGATATTCACAATTTAAAACTGCGAGTAATTGCTGCGACAAGTAGCGAAAAATAGAACTGAAGGGATCATGTGTTAGACGTAAAGTAACCATGGCACTCTTCGATCGACAAACATCACAGAATACCACGTAAAGTAATGATACATAATTGCTATAATATGCAGCTCATTAAATTATATTATGCATTCAGATGATGATATCGAGCATCGAATGCAATATCTGTATGCATTAGTGTTTTTAAAGATTTATTAATAACGACTACTTAATTTTAAATTCCATGAAGGATAACTGATATTTTTATGCTACGACTTCTGGAGATATATTTTAAATTTTATATAATATAGATAATTGTAATCTTTATGCATCTAATTTATTGCAAAATACCGATGCATACCAATGTTTTTGCGGATAAAAAATATATTTAATACTGCTGAATGGCGAGTGCATAATTTCTTCTTTTTGATCTATACTAGACAAGTTGAAACCTGTGATTTGATCGCGTAGCGAGAAATGTCTTAGGGATCACATGTTAGGCGTGAAGTAACCATGGAATCTTTCGTTTTTACAACGAAATATGTAAATGGACTGATGTCTCACATTTAGCAAGTTAAAGCTGCAATTGCTGCATCAAGCAACGAGATAATTATAACTCATAATCAGATCATTTGTTAGTAAGAAAGTATCGGTGAAGCTCTCCGATCGGCATTTATTATCCATTGTATTTATTGAAAGTGGAAGGCAAAAAATAATAATATCTTATTTTAGTTATTATTATATAATATGATAAGAATACAGTAACTTTATATGCACAAACAATTCAGGAATCATCACTATTAATGCAGCATCTTCATGCATCAAAAGTGTTTAGAATTTGTTTAATATAATGACTAACTGATTCTATAGTACCTATGTATATATTTTCTCATTGTACGTACTGAAAAATGTCAAAATTTCATATTTTTATTATGTATAAATAGTTAATATAAAACTATTACACATTTTTATTTAATTTTGATATTTTTATTACTCAGTTTTAATTTTATCGAAAAGTTAGTTAAAAAGGTATGAAATATTTAAAGAATAGAAAGAAATACTTCATATTACGTTGAGAAATGTATTACGTTTTATATAATATATTATAAAAAATAAATTATATATTTATAATATATAATATATTTAAATAATTAAAAGATTCACTAAAGATTTATTTGCAATTTATTGTTAACATACACGATATAAAATTTTTTAATGATTTTTCTCTATATGTGAAGACAAACATAAAAAAAAACATCATGTGATATTTTAATATCAACAAGAAGATATTTCTAATATTTATAAAGATATTCTTTTTTTCTATTA